TTTTTTTTTTTTTTTTGGTTTCCTGTATTTAGAGTTTTACTCCGACTAATCCGGATAAACCCGCGTTGCACACCTAGAAATAGTGAGTGAATCTTTCATCAAAGACTGCTGCATACACAAGATCTCAAATTTCAGATCTTGCGGTTACCACTTGATCCAACCTATCGTGGCTAAGAAAATGTCTCTTTTACGGCATAAATTCAAGAATACTCAAATGTGCCTCACAGTTGTAGGCAATCATTAGATATTGCTATTACTGTAAGATACATTCTTTTAATTAATAAAAAAGAGCAACTGCTGAATTAAAATTAATTGCGACTTTATAAATAAATCAAATATTATTGAGGGTTGGGGTTATTTCATATATTGAAATGTTAAAGTATTATAATATATAAAGTGTAAATTGTGAGCTATCATATATGATAGAAATCAAATATCATAGGGAAAATTATATTTAATGGTTTGGTCATAGTTTTATTTTAGATTTAGTGAAAACATAATTTTACATCCCACATATATAAAAAAACTATTAATTAAATTTCTTATAAATTTATTAAAACATTTTTAAAAAAGTTATGGCATCCTTTACATAACTATATGTTCATACTTATATCCTTAACCAATCAAAATATAACCAATCAAAATATCTAAAACTTTTCTTTAATTTAGTTTAGAAGTAAATCCAAACAAATGAGAAAAGTTATAAATAAAGATATAAATTTTATTATTTTTTAATTTAAAGATTAATTAAATAATAATATTAATGTGACAAATAATTTTTTAACTATTTAATTAATTTTTAAATAAAAAAATATAAAGTTAATATCTTTAAATAAAAATAATTAAAATTTTGTCATTTTATTTAAAAACTAACAAAATTACATTTTTAAATAAAAAATATTATAAAGTACACATTTTTATCTACACATTTTTTTCAACAACTTAGACAATTTCACTTGTTTAGACAACTTTTTTTTCACAAATTCCATTAAGGAGAAGCATTATTGAAAAAATTTGAGTAATTCTAATATAGATAAGGAAACCATTTTTTACGCGCGTTTGCTACCGTGCTATACAACTATGAATTGATAAAAAGAATTTTTTATCATCAACAAGAATTTTGCTAATTTAATACATCAAGATGACATAGATTCGAATCCCCACCCTTGTCCTTAAATTCCCCTAAGTCCTCTTTTCTAAAGATAACAGTAAACAATAAAGTGGAATATAATTTGAAAATATATTTACACTTCAATTTCACGTTTACTTTAAAAATTATCTTTCTAAATTATAGGTACAAAATTTAAAACTATTTATTGATTACATAAAAAAAAAAAAAATTCTTTGTTGATGGTAGATGGAGGGATGTCTTAATAAATCCAAGCTTTAAAATCCAAACCATTTATACTTTTATTTACTTTCTATTATAACACTAATAATTTATACTAAGAAAAATGTAATTGTGGATTCTATTGGCATTAAAAAATAAGGAAATGATATATATACACTCTCTCGTTACACCTTTTGTTATACACTCACTCCCTTTTCTTTTCTTTTCATTTCATTTCTTCTGTTAACTCCAAAATATATACCCAGAAACTCTCCTCTTTACTCAGCATTGGTTCTTTGATTTTCAACTTTCTTTTTTCTTTCCCTTCCTCTTCCTTTCTTTTTCTTCTTCTTTCCCTCTCCTCCCCTCTTCTTCCTTCTCTTCCCCCCTCCTTGATTTGTTGAGGAGAACCCAGATCAAGTTCTCAAGGAGAACCTAGATCTGGGTTCTCCAGATGGAGAGAGAAAAAAAAAAAAGAGGAAGAAGGAAAAAGAAAGAAGATAATGAATTTGTTAGAATTTTTACAAATTTGATAATATAGTGTGTTGTTTGGTTGATAAGAAAATTGAAAACTTTCCTCCAATATTTCAAAACCAACTCCATGTCTAAAAGAGAGAAAAGGTCAATCAAAACAACAAGATGGAGAAAGGAAAGCAGAGATAGGGAAAAAGGAAAGTAGGGAGAGCAAGAAATGGGCATATGGGGTTAACGGATTCAATAACAAAAAGTGAAGGTGTGTGACAAAGGGTGTAACGAGAGAAGGTAAATATATCATGGTCCTAAAAAATAGTAGTATGAAAATGCCATGGAAAGTTGAAAACTGGAAAAGAGGCCAATTGATGATCTCTACTAGAATTTTTTATTTATGGGCGTGTTCGGTATACAGATTAAAATTTAATAAATAGTGGATAGCAAGTAATAGACAATAGATAATGATAATAGATAGTAGGTGATGATTAGAAGATAACATGTGGTAAATAGTAGAAAGTGAGTAGTAAATAGTAAATAGTAGACAATAGATATATTTGTTTGGTTACACAATAATTAATCATTGTTATTTAAAATTAAAT